GCGTCACCCCGCTGTGCGCCCGCACCTGCTGCGCGCGTCACCCCGCTGTGCGCCCGCACCTGCAGCGCGCGGGCCCTGGCGTGGGGAGGTGGTGCACGCCCCGCGCCGCCCGGCAGGTCAGCCTCCCCGTCGCGTCCCTTTTTCTCCTGCAGAAGATCTGTCTTCCTTTTTCTTGCAGCTAGCAGACTGAACTAGCATCTAACTAGTCAACTAACGCAGTGCTAACTAACGCTCCTGAGTTACAGCTTCATTTAACCGCAGGTGAAAATAACTCAAATCCCGGAGTCAGGAGTGACCTTGGAGAGCCGGTTAGGTGAAGCTTAACAGCAAAAGGAGGTAGCAGCCAGCTCTTGAAGAAGAGGCAGATGGTTAGCGTAGAGGCCTCAGCATTGCCACGTTGGTTAGGTGGGTGGTTTTTAATAAACAGTAGCCTGCCGTAGTGCGTTTTGTTTCTGACATGACTAAGCAATAAAGAATTAAGATGTGCAATGCCTGTGCACCAGCTCCGCGTGATGAATGTAGTTGTGCTCCGCAACGTGTCCAAGGAAGGTTTTCTAGAAACAGGAAGCTGCTCCCCCGTTTTACACCTGCGTCCCTAAAACCATTAAGTGGTGTTCACGAAAGCCACAGGTACTGTTAACAGGCACCCAAGTTTTTAAGGATCTGTCTATTCTTTTTCCTGAGTTCCCTGTGTACTTGTCTTTTTATAAAGTCTGAAAAATCTGATCATGTTTTTGTTCTCCTTTCTGTCCTCACAGAATTTGCCGTTTTCTGTGGAAAACAAATGGCGGTTGCTGGCCATGATGACCTTGTACTTTGGATCTGGTTTTGCAGCACCTTTCTTTATAGTGAGACACCAACTGCTTAAGAAATAAGGATGTTTTAATTCATCCCCTTTTGCAGGTAATTAGTAGAATTCAAATCTTTGTGAGGCAGTGCAGTTCTATGTCAAATCCACCCCACCTTCCAAAATAAACTATACCCACCCCCCCCACCTCGCACATAGGCATGCTTTCTAATACTAGATCCAGCTGTAGTATCTGTGAAGACAAAGTGGTAAACCTGCAGGTTGTTTGCTCACTTATTGCCGGTCTGAGTACCATTTCACATTGAGAAGCTCATGGTTTCTCAGCATGCGGGGTTGTGATTTTTACCTCAGAGACACAAAGGGGATAAGTTGCCCAGGATCCTGTCCTGGCTGTAGTGCTGGTAGACTAGGGTTCTCACCCAGGCAGTCTTGTTCCACAGCTCACAACTTCAATCAGGTAAAATTATACTGAACTGATGGATGAGTAGTTTTATACTAGAATAATAATGGCTTACAACATGTCTTTTTAAACATGTGACAATTTGCAGGAAATAAGGAAAATCTGCCACTACTTTAATTTGTGTTCCAGATATTTATGTCACCATAAATTGTGATCAGTTCATCCATCTTGGGAAAATGAAGGCCGTAGTCCTCAGTGGGAAGAGTGTTGTACCAGAGGGGCATTTGACAATGTATAGGGGTTTTTTTTTTGTTTTGTTTTTTTTTTAATTTCAAGGAGGAGGCAAAATACCAAAGTTCCAAGGCTGAGGGAATATGTGCATTGAGGGAGTGTTAGTGCTTGCCGAAAGCAGCTTGCAGACCCTCTCTGGTTAACAGATACTCTGTGAGAGTAATATTAAAATACTATTTAATCTCAGAGTTTTTCAAAACAGTGCTGTGGGGAGCTCTGTAGGGTGTTTAAAGTAAATTTCAAAGTGTACCTTAGAATGAAAAGCCTATTTTTCCCAGTTGAAAAAAATACTTTGGAAGGGGAATGCTTTACCCAAAATATTTGTAATTTTTTTATGTATGTGGTGCATATGATGAAGCAAATCAGTATGAATAAATCATGATACTGTAAACGCTTTCTGATGTGCTAAGCTAATTAACAATGGGTTCATGAAAGTACATATCTATAAAATAGGCATTTTTAAATCCCATTAATTTGTTTTTGTTTTGCAGATGGACAGAATTTCTCAAGAGGTGAAGCTCTTCAGAAACAGATCAAACTCTTAAATTCATGTGGCATACTAGATATGTTTGTAAATAAACATGCAGGCCTAGTGCCTCTTCTCTGAAATACGGAATGCTGTTACTGAGCTTGTTATTTGATTGTTTGGGTAATTCTCCAGCATTGGCTTTCTACTGTGTATTAACTTACTTCAGTTTTAAATTTTAGGATTTTAATTGTTGGCTCTCAGGCCACAGTTTAGTGAAATACAGCTTTGACAGTGGTAGTTGTAATTAGTTTAAAGGTGAAAGCTCTTGTACTTTTAGTTTTTATCATTTAAAGTAATTTTTTTAATAATAGAAATGTCCCCCTTGTTAATCATACTGTTGGCCATTAAGTATTATAATTGAGAAAATATTCCCACTTTATTTTGCAGCTTTGGCTATAATATTCCCTTAGAAGGTAAAAGATGAGATGGTTCTGATTGTTGATCTTACCTGTGAATTATTTACACATAGTGAAATGCTGCTTAAAACTAAAAATAATAGCAACTTAGTTTATGGGGAAAATTTGCTACTCCTGGTTGGTTCACTTTTTGACTACTCTAGGTATTGGATGAATACTATAAAAAACACATTGCAGACTGGCAGCCTGTCCTCTGGATGGTTTGGTGAGAAGGTGCTGTACTTTGCAGCTAACGTTTAAAAACTAGGACATTCATACAAAAATTCATTCTGGATTCCTGAAAAATCATTCTAATGGATTATCTGTCCCTTCATAGAACAAAGCAGCTGCCTAGATCAATCCCTGGTATAACATTGGATTTCCTTTTGGGCCTTAAAATGAAACTGATTTGCTAGAACCTTAGGTTTCGGTATTTTTCTGTTTATGTGTCATGCACCATCTTTAGCTTCACAACTGTGACAATCTTCATAAAAGAACTGTTCAGATCCTCCTGCTCTTTATCCAGGGTCATGGTCTGGTACCAGGCTTATCTGTGAAGGTCACCCTGATAATTTTTCCTCATCTCTATCAAGATATACCTAAGTCCCACACCCTTAAAACAATAATTACTTATAGAAATCACTAAAATTCCTTGCCAGTCCCCCATACCTGTTTGTTATTTTTCTGATATAGAGGCTTTACTTACGTTGATCCATACTTTACAGCGTGGTCAGTGAACATTTATTGAAAGGGTTACTATTGAAAGCAAGAATAGCGATCTACACAAGAGCAAGTCCTCATAGTGTTCTGCAGTCTGAAGCCTACATGCTATGGGAATAATTTAATATCCCTAGTTAAGTGTATATGTGAACATAAAATCAGTATTTGCGCATTTTTTAACCTACAAGATAGCAGTTTCTCTATGCAGT